GTGTGTGTGTGTGTGTGTGTGTGTGTGTGTGTGTGTGTGTGTGTGTTAGAGAATTTACTTGAATGGCTGTTATTCTTTTTTTTTTTTTTTTTTTAAGATTTATTTATTATGTATAAAGTACTCTGTCTCCTGCTTATACACCTGCATGCCAGAAGAAGGCACCAGATCTCATTGCAGATGGTTGTAAACCACCATGTGGTTGCTGGGAATTGAACTCAGGACCTTTGGAAGAGCAGCCAGGGCACTTAACCTCTGAACCATCTCTCTAGCCCGGCTGTTATTCTTGATTAATTCTATTTTTGTGCTTCATAAGTGAAGTCCTGGCCTAGGGATGTAGCTCAGTGGTAAAGCACTTTCCCTGGTATATTCAAGGCCTTGGGTTCTATCTGGAGCATTGTGGAGAGGAGAAAAAAACAAAACAAAACACAATCCTCTTAAAAGTTCTCTATATAGCTAACCCATTCAGAGTAGATAGACTCTATGGCATGATCATGTATTTTTTTTTTTTTTTAAGTTTTACTCTTAATGTATATGTTTTTCAGCGTGTGTGTGTATATGTGTGTTTGGGCACCCACAGGGTCCAGAAGCCAATGGATCCCTTGAAGTTGGAATCTCAAGAGATTATGAGCCTTTAATGGGTGCTGGTAACCAAACTGAGGCATCTCTCTAACCCTTGCATGTATTTCTCTCATGCCATCTGTAGTACCTAATATATAGCCAATACTTAAAGCACTCAACAAGAAGAAAACAATCAGAATTTGAGAAGCAGGAAATAACTTAAAGTCTAAAGGAATTAGCATCTGTCCTAAACACAGAATCTGTAATGACTAGAATTTATAATAAACAGCTGTCCTGGCTATCTAAAATTCATTATACCAATGCTAAAAGCATTAATCATTTTTACTGCATTTGTTTAGAAATAGTAAATATGGAGAAGTTGGAGCCACTGTCCTTATATGATTTTATTTGTTTAAGACAAAGTCTTGAAATATATACTAAGCCGTCCCCAAACTCTTAGAGACATGCCTGCCTCTGCCTCCTGAATGCTGGGATTAAAGGAGTATGCCTTCCTGCCTGTTGTTTATTTGATTCTTGAGAAAAATTATCTTTGCATCGTCAAGGGAGGAGCTCTTGATGTATTTTTCAGTTATAAAAATATATTCTCTGGGTTCTGATGTTTCCCAGGACCCAGTGTTGGCTTTTTCCCCTCCCTGTTGTGTTTTATTTCCCCCATCAAATTTTGGGGGGTGCCGGTGGGAGTCGGGTTCTTTTCTGGTTTATCAAGACAAGCTCTCTGTGTCGTTGTGGTTGTGCTAAAACTCACTCTATAGACCAGGCTATGCTCAGACTCAGAGATTTGCCTGACTGCCTCCAGAGTGCTGGGATTAAAGGCATGTGCCACCAAACCTGGCTCATAAATTGGTTTTATGTACCCAAAACTTGAGGATTAAAGTACATTTCTTTAATCCTAGCACTCAAGATGCAGAGAAAAAGGGAGGTGATCTCTGAGTTAACGACCAGCCTGCTCTATGTGTTTTAGGACAGCCAGAGGTATGTAGAGAGAACCTGTCTCAAACAAAAATAGAAGGTGCACCCTAGTCTATAGTTTCTTTTAAAAAGGAAAAAACTGAGCCAGGCTTGGTAGCACATGCCTTTAATCCTGGTACTTAGGAGGCAGCAGCAGGCTGTGAGTTTGAAGCCAAACTGGTCTACAGAGTGAGTTCCAGGACAGCCACCAGCTCTGTTACACAGAGAAATCCTGTCTCAAAAAAAACAAAAACAACAACAAAAAAGCTATTGTCTACACTTCAATTTCTTTCAAAGGCCTAGTAAGTCAATGTTATTGAACATTATCAGGGAAGCCTTACCATATACTGAGAATAATATTACTCAAAAATAAACCTTGAAAACAATCCTGCTACCCCAGAAGAATAGAAATCTAAAGTAGAAAAAATATATATTTATGACTGCGGACATAGCTCAGTTGCTAGCATGCTTACCTAACGAAAGCCCCAGGTTCAGTCTCCAGCACTGCATAACACAGGTATGATAATCTGTGCCCATAATTCAGCAGATGAAGTGAGGACAAGAGCTAGCCTCAGCTACATACAATTTTGAGGCCTGCATAGGCTATGTAAGAACCTGCAGAGATGGAGAAAGGGGAAAAGGAAATGAAAGAGAAGAGAAAGAAAAATCTTTTTTCTTCTTCTCCTTAGTTGGTCTTCCTTTCTTGGACAAGGATTACAGGAAGATTAATGAGCTCAATTTTCAGTCTCTGTTAGATGGTAAGTTCAAAACACTTAAGCCTCTACATTTTGCTGTTAATTTACAGGTCTAATACTTTGGCCTTAAAATATGCTTTAGACATAAAACTGCTTGGATGGTATTCTAAATATTGAGTAGATTTTTTAAATGATTATTATTACTAGTAGAAAATGAACAGTAATTAATAATAGTTATTTCTATATTTGAAATTAGCACTATGGGTACTTAGTATATGCCAGGTACATGTATTGATTATATCAGTGCTATGAGGCAGTATCTTCTGTTTCACCAGTTAGGAAATACAGACCAGCCAGAAAAATTAAGTGTTGTTCTTACAATTACTTAGATAATGAAAAAAGCCTAGATTTCTACTCAGAAATATGTTCCATTTAAATTTATGCTTTCACCAAACACTGTTATATATGTTTAGGCTTAAAGCATTATAGAATGTCTGTGTAACCACATATGATAAAGTCATGTTTTAAAATAAGAAAATAAATGCTTATGCATCTAGTTTGAAAATGTTTCTAACTTATGAAATATAATATTCATCTTATTAAAATATACGAATAAATAATATGCTTATTTTAATTTTTTTTTTCCTTCAGAAGATAAAGCTCCTCCTTCCTCCCTTTTAGTTCATAAGCTTATTTTTCAGTACATTGAGGAACAGGAGTTCTGGAAGAAGAAATGTACAACACAACATCAAGTACCTCAGGTAAAGTCTTGTTGAAACATGTAAAGGAAATCTCAAACTATTTGTCCCAAATCGCAGAGCTGAAATTCTGCAAATATAATAGAACTCTAAAATTATAAACTATAAACATATTCAGTCATTCGACATTTTGCAGGATTATGATAGCCATTAAGAATCAAAAGGGGTTTTTTGTTGTTGTTGTTTGTTTGTTTTTTGGTGTGTGTATATGAGTGTGTGTAGCTTTGGCTGGCCTTGAACTCAGAGATCTGCCTGCCTCTACCTTCTGAGTGCAGGGATTAAAGGCTTGCATCACCATCCACCGGTTTTCTTTTTTAGTTAACTTTTTTTTAGTTCATATTCAAAATAATGTGGTGCTTTTGTTGCCGCTGCTGCTGCTGCTGCTGTTACTTGGTTTTGTTTTGAGACAGGATCTCAGTAGCCTAGTCTGACCTATATAGGCATGGATAACCATAAACTTTTCATCTGCCTTCACTGCCCAAGTGCTGGAATTATGGACTTGCACTACCATGCCTCATTTATGCAGTGCTGGGGATCAGACCCACTCATTTGTGCATGCCAGGCCCAGGCTGCTCTTCTTCTTCTTTTTTTTTTTTTTTTAAGATTTTTTATTTAATGTCTATAGATGTTTTGCCTGGTATGTGTGATCCACATGTGTGGATTGCTTGAGGAGACCAAAGAGGGCATCAGATTCCCCTCAAACTGGAGTTACAGATGATTGCTGGCTGTCATGTGGGTTCAAAGCCAGTTCCTTTAACTACTCTCCAGCTATATCGCTTGAACTCTCAACCGAGCTACCTCCCTAAACCCCAAAATAAGGTGTTTTGGTATGATATTTTCATGCACACACACTCAAAGTCATTTTTTTTTTTCTAGATGCTTCAAGAACTCTCACTGGTAGTGAGCCATTGCAGGCTTCTTGGAGAGGAGATTGAATTTTTAAAGAGATGGGGCCCAAATTATAGTCTAATGGATATAAATGTGAATAATACTGAGTGAGTATTTTCAGTTTCCTGGAGCTGTTATAATAAAGTTTTATAAGTTGAGTGGCTTAAATAGCAGAAATCTGGGGTCTGTGTTAGTAGGGGAGGTCTTCATACGCCTGTGCATGTGCATACTTGTACAATCACTCGCTCGCTCTCGCTCTCTTTCTCTCTCTCTCTCAGGTAACTATTGTGCTATCTTGCTCCAGATGGAATACCTTCTTTTCTATTTGATAAGGACAAGAAATAGGGGCTGGAGAGATGGCTCAGTGGTTAAGAGCACTGTCTGCTCTTCCAAAGGACCCGGGTTCAATTCCCAGCACCCACATGGCAGCTCACAACTGTCTGTACCACCAATTCCAAGGCATTAAAATAAAAGTTAAATAAATTATTTAAAAAAAAAAAAAAAGAAATAATAGCTATCTTAAGTTTCTTAATACAAGTACAAGAGAAAAATGTGTGTGTGTTTTAATCTATTTTGGTTTTATATTTTTAATTATGGATTTTGTCTTTTACAGATTGAGGCTTTTATTCTCCAGTTCTGCAGCATTTGCAAAGTTTGAGATAACTTTGTCTCTCTCAGCCTATTATCCGGTGGTCCCACTACCATTCACTATTCAAAATCACCTTGGGAATACTGGGTATGTAAACATCCAGCTCAATGAGAGTTCCAGTTACTTTTGTACTCTTCTTACTTCATTCCAAAAGCCCTTGAGAGATAACTGTCACTTCTTTCTGACTTCCTCTTCCAGTATTTGTTCTTTCAAAGTCAGTGGTCTTGTTATTGTCTCCAGTGAATGCTGGAGTCTAGTCTTTTGTGGCGGTTTCAGTTTTTCAATACTTCTTTATTGTTGTAAACTAAAAATAAAATGGGTGTTGGGCTATATAATGTTTATTATTTGCCCTAAGATTATCATAGCAGTAATATTTAATCTGCTATCATAAATAACGAGACAGACACCTCTTAGATTTGATAACTGCCTTATTTACCTTGGGCTGGGCAGATATTCCTTCCTATGCTGTCTGAACAACCTCACCATCCATCTCCCAGGCCCCAGCCAGTGCCATCTGCCTTAACCGTCCTATATTCCATCCATAATCTTATAAATACTTGCTTTTATTCTTCATCTGGGCCTTTTCACGCCTTTACTGGAGTCCTTCCTTGGCCCAAATGATGTTTTCTCCATGCTAACCCATCCTGGTGTCCTCCTCCTTCCTCTTTTCCCGTCTCTCTGTTCTTCCCATGATTCTTCATGGGATTTCCCAAAGCCTGGGAACCTTAGCCACGCATACCCCATTCTGCCCTGCCCAGGTATAGGCTGTTAATCAATCAGTCAGATATGTCTTAGGCAGGTTTACAACACAAAGATAAGTATAACCAGATCTTAAGTGCCAGTAATTAGCATTAGACCAGCCTCTAACACTTCTCCCTAAAACAAGAAAGAAGAAAAAATTTTGGAACTGGAGATGTAGCTCAGTTCGTACCATGCACATGGGCCTGGGCTGCATTCTCATCACCACATAAATTTTAAATTGAACATTGTGGTGCTGCCACCTTTAATCCCACCCACCTGTAGAGAAAGGCTTAGCGGGATCAGAAGTTCAAGCTCATCTCCATTTGACCATGATCTACTTGATAACTTTTTTTACAACACATATCAGCAAACAATAGTTTAGGGGTTTGTAGCTAAAGAAATTAATGTGGAGACCAGATGGCTCAGTTGGTAAAGAGCCTGCCACACAAGCATGAGCGCATATGATCACATCCCTAGCACACAGGTAAAAGCAGGGTACGGCAGTACACATCCAGAACCCCAGTTCTTGGAAGAGTAGAAATAGTGAAGTAGTTGGAAGCTGGGCAGTGATCGCACACACCTTTAACCCTGGCACCAAGGAGGCAAATGAAGGTGGATCTCGGTAAGCTCAAGGCTAGCTTGGTCTACAGAGTGAGGTTAGGTCAGCCAAACCTACACCGAGTAACTGTCTCGAAAACCAAAAAATAAAGAGAGAAAGAGAGCTGGAACCCAAGAGCCACTAGCTAGCCAGTCTAGTCAATCAGTGAAAGCCCTGTCTAAAAAATTAGTTGAGCAAATAAGGAAAACAGTCTTTGTCTACCTTTGGTCTACATCCACCCCCACACACACAGGAACATACATGTGCACGCAAGCACAAAAACGAAAAATATGGCGGGGGTAATGGGGCAGGGCATGGAGAGATGGCTCAGTAATTAAGGATTCTTGCCATTCCTCAGACGTCCTAAGTTTAGTTCCCAGCACCCACCATATAGGGCAGCCTACAGCCACCTACAGTTCTAATTCCAGTGGTCTCAATGCCCTTTTCCGGCCTGCTTTAGGACCTGTTCTCACTTGTGCTCATTCCTATACAACAGATACACATAGTTCAAAGTAAAATAAATCTTTTTTATTGGGAGTTTGCAGGTAGTTAGGAAGTTTGGAGACACAACCAAGTTATAGAGTGCTTGCCTAGCATGTACAAGGGCCTATGTTCAATCTCTAGCACTGTACACAAACAACAAAGAAAGCAATCTGGTCAAGATACTTTGCAGTTATATATAGAATTGGTTATTCAGCCTTATTTTAGAATACAGTTTCAACCAAGTTTCTGCCTATTTCCAGAAATATCCATTTTTGCTTTCTAGGAACTTGAGAGATAGTATCCAAGGACATGAGTAGCCTTAAATTGGAGACAGGAAATTTTTCAGGAAAAGTAATTAATACCCTTTTGTCTTTTCTAGCCATGATGAAATTGCTGCTGTTATCTCGAAAGTGCCCTTAGAGGACAACTACCTAAAGAATATAGTCAAGCAAATTTACCAAGATCTACTTAAGGACTGAAACTTTTGCCGTAAGACCCAGAGATCACAAGTATCTCAACTAAGGAAAAAATGTGCTTTCCCAGGCATAGAGGCAAACTCTTGTAACCTCAGGACTTGGGTGAGACAGATCACAAGGTCCATGCTAGCCTGGGCTATCTGTGGGCCTGGTTGAAAAACAAACAGGAAAAGTACTAAATGATACATCAGAGTCACTATTACTGTTTATCCTTTGTCTTAACATATAAAACTAGCAAAATTCCTCCTGATGACATCATACCTAATTTGTATCATTAGTTTTTAAATACCTAGGGGAAAAAAATGGAGTCTCAAATAGGATGCTATCAACTTGTTTACCCTTATACCCAAGGGTAAGTAATTGGACTTGCAAGAAATTTCCCCTAATGTATCTCAGTGATAGAGCACTTACCTTATATGCATGAAGACCTGGGTGTAGTACCACCAAAACAACAGCAACAACAAAAAACAAGTGATCTTTGTCTTAATGTAATCTCTAAGGAGTGACTTGTAAGAGGAGGTAGGACTACTAACACAAAGAGTAATCATTTCCTCCTGTTTAGAGCTGTGTATTTATGGTGCTTGCCTAGCACATATGTATGGAGTAGGGTATGTCTGTCAGCTTGTGCTGGTACAGACCAAATGGCTCCAGCTACTCAGAAGACTGAAGCAGGAAGCTCACTTGATCTTGTGACTTCATGACCAGCATTGTCAACATAGCAGTGAGATTTGTCTCCACAAAAACAAAAGAATGTATCTAATGTATCTAACCATAGACTACCCATCCTTCTCCATTTCAGAAATGCTGTTAAGAGAAGGCACGAACACTGAGCTATTGGAATGGTTGCCATCTTTTCTTGAGAGTCTTGTTATTTTCTTTACAGTGTTTATTAGTGTTTTCTTAAGTATGTTCTTTCTAGAAAAAATTCATTTTGGTTTGTAATGTAAATATTTCAGTGTTTTTGTATTTGTGATATATATAGCAATGTCAATCACTTTTTTAATTAAATAGTGACAGTAATCACCTTGCAATACTAGTTTCTCACAATCATTAAAAAACTATTGCTTTCTGAAATCACACTTTTCTCATATACAAAAGCAATGTATAAATTGTTTAATAAATGAACAATATTACCTCTGAGATAGACAGATATAAAAGGACTTTTCTCCAATGCTAGTCAAATTCTAATCAAAGTAACTTTGTTTCTTTTACATTTAATTTAAACTGTGTTTATATCTTATAATTTATTTTAAATATCAGAGTAAAGTCCTTTTAGTGCCACAGTGTTGCTATCTTACTTTTTTGCTAGTTTTTACTTTTGATCTGTGTATCAAGAGAGCATACTTTTTTAGCTTTCAAATGTCAACAAAAAATTCTTTTGACTTAAAAATTAAGGCCTTAGGTAGTCATAAAAATCTTGTAAAGTCATCAGTATGATGTTTCCCATGAAATTTAATTTATCCTTCTGACTGGAATTATTTTTTCCTAGCTGAATAAAAATTAAATTTTATTGTATATATTTAAGCTTGAAAAAGAGTTCCCAGAATGATTTGTCTTATAATGATGATGTCTGCTTTCTTGGCTTTGAAGGATGTAATTTTGTTTATATAGGTGTTGTTTTTTCCTATGTTTAGAGTTTTGGCAATTTTTTATATTTTCTAAGTTTCTTTTATGAATTTTAAAGTATTTTTTCACTATTAAAGTACACTGATTTCTTGAAATCCTTTATAATTAGTATCTCTATTAAGAATGTTTTGTATTGGGCTGGAGAGGTGGCTCAGCAGTTAGGAGCACTTGCTGAGTGTGTGCCTGGTGCCTTTAATCTCAGCACTGGGGAGGCAAAGGCAGGTGAATCTCTTTAATTTCAAGGACAACCTGTTATACAGAGTGAGTTCCAGGACAGCCGGGACTTCACAGAGAAATCCTGTCCCAGAGAGAAAAAAATGAAAGAACGCTTGATGCTCTTGGAGTTAGTTCCCTATACCCACACGGTGCCTCACAGCTGCCTGTTAACTAGCTCTAAGACATCCAGTGCCCTCCTCTAGCTTCCGTGAGCAGTGAGTATGCACAAGGCTCACATGCATACATCAGGCAAAATACTCGTACACGTGAGATAGAAATACATCTTTTTTTTTTAAAGAGTATTTTTGTCTGGTGTAGTGGTGCATGCTGTAATCCTAGCACTCAAAAGGCAGAGGCAGGTGTGGATCTCTGTGCAGAGGAATTTTAATATGACTTCTCTGGCAAGGGATCACATTCAGAGACCCTCTACGTCTTTACAATCTGTCCAGGATGCAGAGACATGCCCAGTGTCACAGATACACCCTTGGTGCACACCTTTAATTCCTAACAGTGAAGGTAAGGGTAGTTTGTAGAAGGAAGCAGCTATGTTTGAAAGTGACATCTAATTGAGGGGCAAACAATGTGACATGTAAGAGAATGATTTGACAGAATGAGTCAGAAATAGGATATGCCCAACTCATCTGAGAACAGATAGGAGAGAGAGGCTATTTAAGAGCGGCGGGAGAGCAGGAGTTGGTAGACAGTACAGTAGAGTTCAGGAGTACAGTTCTGAGTACAAATGAGTGGTTTTTATGCAGTTCAGTTCCTGGAGTTCAGAGGCAATTTTTCCAAGCAGAGCAATGCAGTGAGAAGCCAACAGAAGCCAATTTGAATCAGTCAGTTTGAAGAAGAGTTTGAGCCAGACAGCTGAGTTGAACCCAGGCAGAGTTCAGAAAGAACTAGAAAGGGTGAACTGCTAGCTTCCACACAATCTAACCTAGACCTAGGACATTTTCAGTCTGTAAGATTTAATGCTTAATAAACTCACCCTTTCTTGCCCTTTCTATGGTTCATCTCAACTGTTCTGGCTCAAACTCTTCTCCAAGCTAACTTACTCAATCTTACTTTTTTCTCAGCCTCTGAATTACTCTGTTTAGCATCAAACTAACTCCAGTAATCTTTTTAATATTCTGGCACACGTTCCCAAGTCTAATGACTTAGGTTTGGTCTCTGAAATCAAAAGTGATATCGCAATTAAGAGTAACAGAACCTCTGGAAGAGCAGGCAGTGCTCCTATCCACTGAGCTTTCTCTCCAGCAAACCCCTCTCCTCCCCCACCTTTCCCCCCCATTCCCATTTTTCTTTAGAGACAGGATTTTACTGTGTCACTTTGGCCAGCCCAGAACACACAGATATTTTCTGTTTCTGCCTCCAGGAGTGTTGAGATTAAAGGTGTGTACCACTACACCCAGCTTTTTGCATGACTCTTCGTTTTTCATTAACACTGTTTTGTTCATTTTGTTTTGTTTGTTCATTCATTCATTCGTTTCTGTGTATGCGCGCGCGTGCGTGCGTGTGTGTGTGTGTGTGTGTGTGTGTGTGACTGAGAGAGATGCACACAAGTGCCATGTATGCACCATGACATACATATGGATATCAAAAAGCAACTTCAGGTGTTGGTGGTCCTTGCCTTCTACCTTTTTTATGACAGAGAGTTTCTGTGTTTTTTTGTTTTGTTTTGTTTTGTTTTTTCTGCTGAGTATGTCCTGAGAGGTTCTAGGAGTGGTGTCGCTGCCTCTCATCTCTTCATAGGAATGCTTACAACATCTGTCTAGCATTAATGTGGGTTCTGTGGGTCTTTATAACCCACTGAGTCAAATTCCTGGCTTATGCTGATTTGCTCTTTGTTTGTTAGGTGGTTTTTGAGACAGGTTTTTACTTTGTATTCCTTGCTTCCTGAAACTTTATATGTAAACCAGCCTGGCCTCAAACTCAGAGAAACACCTGCCTCTGAATTCTGAATGCTTCCTGCCTATAATCCCAGTACTTGAAATGTGGAGAGGTGGTTAGGAGTTCAAGATCAATATCCACTACCTACCAAGTTGGAGGCCAGCCTGGGCTACTTGAGAGCCTATCTCAAAAATAGAGGCTAGGGATTTAGTTCAGTTGGAGAGTGCTCATCTAGCATGCACAAAACCCTGGGTTTGATCCCAAGCATTTGCCCAAACTGTGGTGGTAGACACCTGTAATCCCAGAACTCATGACATAGAGGTGAGACTATCAAAAGTTCAGATTCTTTTTTGGCAATATAGTGAATTGGGCTATGTGAGACTAAAAACAAAAACAATACCCTTAAACCTGTAACCACAGTGGTCGTAGTTTTTATTGTATTCATCTGCCATGTCAAGTTCTTCCGGGACACAGACACACAGCTATGTGATATGAGCAATACATGGATGTTGCCAACCAAATTAGAGAAAAATGTGGCAAGCTTTCTGTTAACCGAAAATTCCTGTGAAAAAATTGAAAGGCCAAGCATAGTGATCTTTAATCCCAAAACTCTAGACCCAAAGGGTCTCAAATCCTTTAGGGGGTGTCAGATGACTCTTTCACAGGATCATTTATCAGGGTCACATATCAGATATTCTGCATATCAGGTATTTACATTACAATTAATAGCAGTAACAATTATAATTATGAAGTAGCAATGAAATAGCTTTATGGTTGGGAGTCATCACACTATGAGGGGCTGTATTAAAGGGTCACAGCATTAGGAAGGTTGAGAACCTCTGCTTTTGTAGATACTAATATTTACTATTGGTTTATCTTCTAGTAAAGCTTGCTGCTGTTAATCTTAAACAGCTGTATAAACATTTACTCCCTCCTAAGCCTCCAAGCCCTCAGTTTCCTAACATTTAGATTTCCCACATTATACTTGCTTTTTGTGAAATCTTAGGTCTGGTTCATGCGCCACGTCCTCCAAGACCTCTCCTCCCACTCATGTCCTGCCTTCTGGCTCCTCCCCTCTTTCCTGTCCTCTGACTCCTCCCATTGCACAACATTGTATCTAGTTGCTTTATTTTGTCCTGTTTACACAAGAGTTGAGACAGGATGCTTATAGTGAGTATCACAATGCAATATCCGGATTGAAACCAGAGAGTGGGGGGGAGAAATCAGCATTTGAATTAACAAGGGTAAGGCATATACATTTTAAAAGAACATTATACCAACAGAGGCCACTGAATGTGAGGCCAGCCTGGTATACACAGTGAGTTCCAGGCATTTGAGGCTGTATAATGAGAGCCTAACTCAAAAAGAATCAAATACTACAGGCTAGGGATAAAGCTCAGTGGTAGCGCCTAACATGTGCAAGGCTCTGGGCTCTATCCCCAGTACCACAAGAAAACTAGTGTGTGATATAAAATTTTGCTCTTAAAATATATTTTTGCTGGGCATAGTGCTACATACTAATAATTCCAGCATTTAGGAGGCAGAAACAGGAGGATTTCTGAGTTTGAGGTCAGCCTGGTTTACATACCAAGTTATAGACCAGCCAGGGCTACATAATGAGACCGTGCCTTGGAAGGAAGGAAGGAAGGAAGGAAGGAAGGAAGGAAGGAAGGAAGGAAGGAAGGAAGGAAGGAAGGAAAGAAGGAAGGAAGGAAGGAAGGAAACCAATACTGTGCTTCTGAGCATCTTTTGGAAGCTTGAGAGCTGGAATGGCAATTTACTTAAAGGAAGGGCAACAGGAATAATTTATAATTCCCACTGTCCTAATTCCTGAGGAGGATGGAGATCTTGTGAAGTGGGAACATCAGCAGTTGTTTCTCAGCTGGCAGAAGTTATGACATCTGGTCACTATCCGTGGTCCTCATTGGACTGCAGATTTACTTGCCTCCTACTAACATATATTAGACTTGGGCTTCGGTAGATGATGGGGCCATTTGTGACTTGATTCTTAGCGGCCCAAGGAGCATCAGGGACAATAGGCATCCAAGGATGGATGTGGCAGTTTAGTGATACAGGTATAAAGATTGCTCCAAATAATATGGAGTGTACATTTCTCCCCTAGGAGTTAATTGTCTCTCCAACCATTACAGTGACCAGATGTAGCATGTGAAGATACAGTAGCTGCAAGCCTGGCCTGAGTAGCTGGCTATAACCCAGCAGATAGACAAATGAGCACAAACATGGCCACTCTCCCCAACCCCTGTCCTAGCAGTGTCAGTCCTGGAGAGGGCGCCACTGCTGCCTCAGCACAGCTGATAGAAAATGATTGTCATTTACCAAGAGCTCAATGAAGGTCTGCCTCCCATCAATTTCTTTGAACCTGGCATCCCCCTTGGAAGGAAACTGGCTAGAAGCAATGGGATCTTTCCATGCTGTATTGGGCCTTGCTAATATTTCTTTCATACTACCTCAGTTGCTATGTAGCTGAGGTTACCCTCAAATTCAAGCTCTTCCTAATCAGTATTGGGACAGCAAGCAGGAGCAAGCACATCCCATTCAATATTTCATCCAACTTTTGTTATCTATTTAGATATTCTGTGCTTTAAGATCTATATTTTCTCTTAGAGCATTGATTTTAATGTTTTATATCCTTGTTACATTTGGAATTTTTTTATCCATAAAATATAATAAGCTAGATCCTAAAATTATTTTTCCATGTTGTAACTGTATTGACAGAAATGAAGTGATCTGTGCCCCTTCTATTGGGTATCAGACTATTGAGTCAATGAGCCCATCAAAATTGAAATTTCCCTAAGAGTCTCATGCTGGTAAAAGGAAAGGCCAACTAGAGAGGCTGGTGTGGGTGTTGGGGTGGGATATAAGGAGTTTTTACTCAATTTTGACAGCTTGTCAGACCACCTTACCAGGAAGGATACTGGAGTCTAGACAAGTGTGACTCAGTGATGGGTGGGACCACATCCGGATCAAGGCTTCTAATTAAATAAAAACTTTATGTCAGCACCCCAAAGTTGGATTTGGGAGCTCACTGGATGTCTTTGTTCCTGTTTCTTATGTGATCACATTAAATCTCCCTTTTCTGCTTTTCACAATTACATCTTTAATTGGCCCACAGAGGTCATAGCCAAGCCTAGACCTGAAAAGCCACGTCTAGACTCTGACTTTCTTAACGCCCAATAACAAACTGGCCAGCTATTCAAGCCAACAAGATGGCTGAGCAGGTCAAGGTGCTTGCCCCCAAGCCTGTTGACCTGAGTTCAGTCTCTGGGGCCCACACGATAAAAGGAGGGAACCAACTTTGATACCGTTTTAACCTGTCCTGCACAGTTGCACCACCATGTGCACACTGTTGGGAGGTATCCACTGGAGGAGAATACTGACAGGGATTCAAGCCCACAGGAAGTACACGCCAGCTGGCAACTACAGTTGGCGCTCAGGACCACCCAGGTGCGGCACCACGACTTTCTCAAGGTGGGCCTTTAGGTACAAAGACAAAACAAAAATACCATTCTGGATTGACACCTTCAATTAGCAAGAACAATATGATAAAAAATAAAATAAAATAAAAAAAAAAAAACAACAGATTAGTACATTTAGGGACTTTACCAAAACTATGGACCTGTGGACTTTGGTGGATTAGGTGGTCCTTGTTTTTTTAATTTGTTACTTGTTTTGTTTTTGGCAAGTGTTGCTACCTGTGTGCTAGTTTCCACAGTCTAAATGGCACTTCCTTCAAAGCATCAGTTGAGCTAAGATCTCGGCTAAGGCAATAATAAAAAAAATGGCTAGCTATGCAGCTATCTTAGCACCATTTAATAAAATGTTTTACCACCATTGATTCATAATGTCTTGATTATCATATACTAAATTGTTAGTACTTGGGTCTATTTCAATTTGTAGGTGGCAGAACTATGAACCCTCAAAGATGCCTACCTTGTAACCTGTGAAGTATATGAATGTTACTCTGTTTGGCCATAGAGATTTTGCAAATACATTAGCTGGGCAGATATGATGTCACATACCTATTTCAGAGGCTGAGCAGACAGGATTGTGTCCTAGGCTACACACTGAGACTACTTTTAAATAACAACAACAACAACAAAAAACAATGGTTCATTGAAAATATTACCTTCCTGCTGACTCAATCCTGATTTTATTAGAGCTTGGTTCTCTGGAATTTCAGGTCATTGGGCTGGAGATTCGGGTCAGTTGAGTGCTTGCCTAGTTTCATGAACCCCGAGTTTGATCCTCAGTACCACATAAGCCAGTCACAGTGATGAGTCCCAGTAATTCCAACACAGAGACGGATCCAAGGTTCCAAGTCATCTTCAGCTACATAGTGAATTTGAGGCCAGCCTGGTCTACATATACCCCATTAAAAAAAAAAAAAAGGTAGGCATGGTGGTATACATCTTTAATCTCAACACTCAGAGAGGCAGAGGTAGGTTGATCTTTGTGAGTTTGGAGGCCAGTCTGGCCTACAAAACAAGTCCAGGATAGCCAAGGCTACACAGAGGAAATCCTGTCTCAAAAGCAAAAAAACTCAGACATCACTAAGATTGTGGAGTTTTATATTTTCTAATTATAGTTATAAATACTCACAAATTGATGCTTCACTCTTACAAACTTGTCATCTTCCAAGTTCTTAAGTTTTGTGTTTTTTTTTTTTTTTAACTATTCAGTCTACTGATTCATTCTATTTTGGAATGTATGGATCACTCATTGACCTCAACAACCATACATGATGCTGGGCCTCTAAAGAATTGGAAAGATCTGAAGTCACCAGAATGCAAAACGAGCTTTGTTCTGTTTTGTTTCTGCTCCCACTAACTCAATTTGCCTTTCTGAGAATAAACCTTTTCTTGTTTGACAGCCACAGGTGTCCTTTGCTCTTTAGTTTTTAAGCTTAGCTTTTTCTAGATTCCAATTCTAAATATCCAGCAGCAACTCATTATTTACTTGCTATCTATATCAGTTTATTTATACAAACTAAATGCTTCCTGAACTATTCTGTCATTGTCAAATATTTAATGCAAACTTCTCTCTTACCTGAAGTATTTTAAAGAGTTTCATTGAGGAGATGGCACCTGCCACCAATCCTGACATCCTGAGTTTAATCTTGAACACACATGGTGGAAGGAGAAAACAGACTTTCAAGTTGTCTTCTTTCAAGTTGTCTTCTGCTCTTCTCTCTGTTACAGTCTAATCGACACTCAAACCACTCAAGACTCCAATCTCGGTAAGATAATGATTGTTGCACTTGTTTTTAAACTCTGAGGTGTTTAAGCCTCTACCTCTCTTCCACCAACCCTTTAACCCTGGGTAAAAGAGAGAAGGTTATTGGGGAGAGGGGCTCAGACTCCTTTACTTCTCCCAGTTGTTTAGGGTCAATGGGTTCTTTTGGGGCTATACCAAGCTTCATCAAATGCAGCAAGCAGTTTCCTCCAAGCCACCACACTGTCCATCTCCGGTCTCCCCAAACTGCCCACTTTTCCTTTCTGGGCCCTTGTATTTATATCCTCGGAAGTCCTAGACCACGACACTCTCCATGGTGCAAAGACCAACTAGCAAAGACCATGCTCTGCTGGAGTCAACTATCAGCTGTGGACAAACGCTTGGGATTAAAACAAGAACATATTTACATAATATAACTTTTTTTAAAAGAAACCAAAACTTCCATTACAATGATTTATTGAACACACACCCAAAGACTTATGATCAGAGACACAGAATGAACTTGGGAGCCAAACTGTGACATTGTGAGTCGTTTCCAGAGTGTGCTTTTAAAGGGAAAAAACAAAACACGCAGCAGGAAGAATCAATTCTATTCCAGGTACGTTGTGCCTAGGTAGCTGGACAAAGTAGCTATCCTTTAAGCTGATTTGGCTGGGATACTGGGCAGGGGAATATGAGGACTTTCCAGGTCCCTTTCATTCTTGCATGAAAGGAATATAGCAGAATGCTGTGATTTTAACTAAAGCAGAACATACATTATTATCTGTGTTGTTATTCTAAAACAAGTACTGAATTGTGCACTAGGGAAGACAAATAGCAAATGGCTATAGTCAAGCTAAAGGCTAAAGTAGGTAGGCCTTCAATAAAATGCCTATAGTTATGTTAGGCAGTAAGGCCTGGACATGTCTGGACAACATCTCAATGTTGGTGGGCCTCTACACTCTGAAAATGAATGTACATTCTTACACATACATACACAAATGCTTTTGTTGTTGCCATCTCCTGAAATCTACCCTTTGATGCAACACTTTAAGTAAACTTTTGTCAACTTTAAAGCACCCACAACCAGCCCTGGCCGCACATGCCTGTAGCTGTGTGTGGAGGCAGGTAGATTCAAAGTTTAAGGTCACCCTGGGAAATTTATCCAGAGCGTCTCTCAAAAAGTAAATAGACATCAAGCATGGTGGCTTATTCCTGTAACCCCAGACCTTGGGAAGCTGAGTCCAGAGGCTACAGAGAACCTGTCTCAAAAAAATTACTAGCTGGGCATGCAGGTAAGTTGTTTAAGTTCTCATCTAGCCTGTATGCAGTCCTGGGTTCAGTCTCCAACACAAAACATAGTGATGGAGCATTCCTACAATCCCAGCACAGAAAACCTAAGGATTAAGGTCATTCTTGGCCACAAAGAGTTTGAATAGTATGAGATCCTGTCTAGAAACACACATATATATGTGTATATATACGCGCACACTTTTTTTTTTTAAAGCTGAAGTAACAGGTCAAAGTTCCTGGCAAACTACGCAAACGTTTATTAAATTCCGAGCCTTTTCTGGAGTCCAATAAACAATACAAAGAGAAAAAAAACTAGAGAGTAATTTTACTCTAATTTTTGGTAGTTTTATAAATGTCTGTAATGTATTTGGGTCATATCAACCCGTGTCGACGAGGCCCCCGCCTCCGCCCAACAAAAAGTACTTTTTTTTCTTTGTTTCACACCTCGCTGAGTCCCACACTGATTTGCTGGCCTCTGGCTCCGTTCTCAGGCTTTATCTTTATTCCAGCCCCTCATCTCTTCCTCCTACAGAGACCCGAAGAGGCTCGGGCTCCGGAAACTGCCCAACTGCCCAACCGTAGGCTGCGAAGACCTCTCGGACCCGAACCCACACCCACCGCTCAAAGAAATGTACAGAGCGGCTTCCGCAGCAGTGCATTCTGGGTGACGTAGTCCCGGGCCGGCCACGCCGCCTCTGGAGACTTGCAGTCATCGGTCTGCATCAAGAAAGGCCTGGTCAGGACAGTTATCGAAGGCGGGAAGCCTGACCTACGGAAGCCCTCGGGTTCCAGTCGTCCGGTTTGTCCGCCAGGCTCTCGGCAGAAGCGGAAGTAGCTGGGAGGCGGGTCGGAGCAAGGCGTGATGACGTAGCGGGGCGCGGGCGTGCCTGGCCGCGAGGCTTTGGCGGGATTTCTGAAAGTGGCGCGCTGCCCCGGTAACAGTTCGCAGTCGGTGCCCGGGCAAAGCCGAGGCGACCCCCGAGGCGCCGCTGCGGGGACCGAAACTCGCTCCCATTCTCCCTACACGTCCTAACGGAGGAGCTGCGAAGAGGGTTCGAGTCCGGGGCGAGCGTGGTGTGTGCTGCTGGACGGGGCGGGCGGCCCGCGGCTGCGGGACCGGTGAGTGCGAGGCAGGCGGGCGGGCGGCCGCTCCCACGGCCGCTCGGGCTTCTCCGGCCGGCGCTCCCCATAGCCGGCTTCGGGGTCCCCCTCGGCTCCGAGGAACCAGACCAACCGGCCGACGCTAACCCACTGAGTTCGTTGTGGAGGAAAACCGAACCCTACTTCAGGCTTTGGTTTTGAGCCCCGGGCAGGGTACGAACTCCCGCCCTTAGTCTCCCAAATGCTAGGGTTGCAGACTTTCATGTTCGTTTCTGTGGCCCCGACGCAGGAAGCCGAGAGCCAGAGAGAAACGCTCACAGCTGTTACATGTTAGGGCCAGGGCCAGCAGAGTCGTGGTTAAAGCGGAGCGTGCTGGCTGGTGTCTCGGGAAAGTGAAGTCGGAGTTCACCTCCTGAGTTCAAGGACTGCATAAGCACAGAGTAAAGACTGGAAATGCAACACGGATTTCTGAAGGGAAGCCTGGCTAGATTTGTCACTTCTATCCTGTAATCCTAGCACTCGGGCGAGGTAGGAGGATGGCAATTTCAAGGCCAACCTGAGCTACGTATGGAGGAGCATGTCTCAGAAAAAAAAAGTGAAGCAGAGGGCCTGGACAGACATCCTCATGATGGGTTACTACCATCCGTAACTCCAGATCCGGGGGATCCAGTGCTGCCGTCTGACCGTAGAAGCCAGGCGGGTCTGTGATACACACTTGTATGCCGGCAAAACATTCACGTAACAAAAACCATCTAAGAGGAGCTTTCAAAGCTTAGTAATAAAGTGAAGTATTAAAAAGCCACAAGTTGTATACATCAATTATTATAAAAATGAATCAATCTGTGCAATCACCACCTTAAAAACCTCCATTATCGGGGCTAGAGAGGTGGCTCAGTGGTTTAGAGCACTGATTACTCCTCCGAAGGACCTGGGTTCAATTCCCAGCACCCATGTGCTGTAACTCCAGAGGAGCTGACACCCTCACACAGACGTATAGGCAGGAAAACCACAAAGGCACGTGAGATAAAAATAAATTGTTGAAAATGTTGCCCCTCTTTAAAAAAAAACAAAACAAAAACCTCCATTATCCTTCCTTGTCTTAATATTTCCCCCTCACCCTAATGGCTAAAGAGTGATATCAAATACTCTTCACTCATTTGGCCCACTTTTACAAAATATTTAGGCAGGATCTGTCTATAACCCAGAAGCTGGTCTGGAACTCCGGGTTCTACTGTCTGTGCTTCCTAGGTGCTAGGACTACAGGATAGTGTCACCATGCAGACCATTTTTTGTTTTTATTTATTGTTTTGATCGAGGATTTTGCTGTTTGGCCTAGGCTGGCATTGAACTCACTCTCTTGACTCTTCTCCAGTGCATCTTTGCCTGTTTTTAAATTTCAGGTAAATGTACCAGTAGTATTAAATGTTTAATTGTTTCACATGCTTGCCAACACTTGATTTTTTTAAAAAAAAAATAATTTACTTTATGTGTAATGTTATTTTGTCTGCATGTACATCTGTGTGAGGGTGTCAGTTATGGAGTTATGGACAGTTGTGAGCTGCCATTCCCATGCTGGGAATTGAACCCAGGTCCTCTGGAAGATCAGTGCTCTCAACCGCTGAGCCATCTCTCCAGCCCCAACAATTGATGTGTATATAGTAATATGAACTTTGGAGTGGGTGTGGGGACTGCTTTTTGAAATAGTATTACCATACAGTTCAGCCTGTCCTTGAACTTGTGATAGTCATTTGTTCATGTTGTGGGTTATAGAGATACCTTCCTCTTAAATCTGATTTCTGTTCTTTTTTTTTTTTTCTTCTTTCTGATTTGAATGACTTCTATATGTTTGTATTCTGATTATCCACCTCTAACTGTGTATGTGGCGGATATTTTCTCTACTGTTATGATTTGACTTCCCATGTTTTTGTTTTTCGAGGCAGGGTTTCTTTTTGTGGCCGTGGCTGTAGACCAGGCTGGCCTCAGACTCACAGAGATTCACCTGACTCTGCCTTGCTGAGTGCTGGGATTATAGGTGTGCGCCACTGCACCCAGCTGACTTCATGTTCTTCATGTCTTTAATGGATAGAAGTTTTTCTTTTTTCTTTTTTTTTTTTTTTTTCCTTTTGTTTTTTGAGATAGCATTTTAGGTAATCCAGGCTAGTCTCAAACTTGCAACAGAGGATGGCCTTGAATTTCTAATGTCCTTACATACCTCCTAACTGCTGAGATTACAGACATGAATACCATGCCTGGCTTTATGCAGTGCATAGCATCAAACCAGGGCTTCATGCTTGGTAGGCAGACACTGTATCAATTAATTTACAATACCAGAGTCCAACGTTATAACTTCAAATGTAGTCAGAGCTACAGGTTTATTTTAATTATTATTTAACCTGTTCTGGGACCTGAATTCCATCTTTGGTGCTGAAAGTAAACTAAATATAGTCAGTTTCTTGTTTATTTTGCGTGCTGAAGATTCAACCCAGTGCCTTGTTTTCCTATGCTAGAGAGGGCCTGTACCACAGGCTGCTATATTTCCAGCCCATGTTTTCCTATTAGATTGTTGGTGCTTTGTGTATCTACCTCAAGAATTCCCCTATTCCACAAACATGAAATTATTCTGTATTTTGAAATTTTACTCACTATGTATTATAGGAAGGCTTGGAACTTGATGTCTTGTAAAAGTATGTCTTAGCTGGGCATGGAGGTGCACACCTGTAATCCCAGCACTCAGAGGCAGGTGGATCTCTGTGAGTTCAAGACTAGCCTGGTCTACAAAGTGAGTCAGGACAGCCAAGGATACACAGAGAAATTCTATCTCAAAAAAAAAAAAAAAAAAAGAAAGAAAGTAAAAAAAAAATATATTTTTTAAAAAATCTGTTTTGAATAAACTATCCTTAGCTGCATACAACCTACAGCTGTAGGTTAGACACATCTGTTTTGTTTATTTTTAAGCGTATTTTTATTTTATGTGTACCATTGCTTTGTCTGTAGGCATGGCATTCATGTCCGGTGCCTGCGTGGTCAGAGGAGGGTGCCGGATCTCTTAGAACTGGAGTTATAGGCAGGAAGTTCCATGAGCGTGCTGAGAACGGAGCCTGGATCCTTTTCAAGAGCAGCGGTTGCGCTTCAACAGTGGCTAGGTGGGGCCAGCTGCAATTAATTCTTCAGTGGTGTGTCCGAAAACTAATCTTGCCGTTTTTGTTGCCCCAGACAGTATTTCTCTAGTGTTCACTCATACAGTGTTCGCTCATACTGATGCCTCTCTGTATCTTGTAGAAATGGCCATGCAGATGCAGCTTGAAGCAAACGCAGACACTTCCGTTGAAGAAGAAAGCTTCGGTCCACAACCTGTTTCACGGCTAGAGGTATGTCCGCGGTTGCTAAGTCTTTGCTTACAATGCTCTAGTACATTTGTCTGCCTAATGGAACAAATGAACCTTTACAGAAATTAAATTGGGGTGCCAGGAGGTTGTCCGTTACTACAGAACAGCATCTGGTCAAGTCTCTCTTGTCAGTTCTCTTTCTACTCTATTTTCTCCCTTAGAACTGAACTTTAGAAGCTAAGACCCCATGATGGAATATTCCGCACTACACTATGAAAATGCCGATGGCATTGGTGGCACACACCTGTAATCCCAGTGCAGTGGCAGGCAGATCTCTTGAGTTCAAGGCCAGCCTGGTCTATAAAGTGAGTCTAGGACAGCCATGACTACACAGAGAAACCCTGTCTTGGAAAACAAAAACAACAGAATGCTGATGGGAGAATTAGTGATGTAACCCAGCAATGCATGTAAGACACTCTGGCAGTTGTTAAGCAGGCTGAAAGGTATGGGGTTGTTGAGACAAAAGACCCCGTTCTATTTTAGGAGTTAACATTAAGAATACTGAACATTAGCTGGTATGGTGACTCGTAGCTGTAATTATAGCAGTTGGAAGGCTGAGGCTGGCGAATTCTGTTGGAGGCCAGCCTGGTCTACAATAGCAAGGTCCAGGATCTATCTAAAAAACTAAACAAACCTCAAAAAAAAGCAGTAGCGGCAGAACAAACAAGAGGGTTGGAAATACGGCTCTGTGGGTAAAGTTCACACTGTGCAAACAATGAAAGCCATAAAAGCCAGGCAGAGTGGTATATGCCTGTATTCTTAGCACGGAGGAGGTAGAAACAGGAGGATCACTGGGGCTTTTTGGCCAGCCAGTCTAGGCAATCAGAGTCAAGTATAATAAGAGACTCTGTCCCCCAAAATAATGTTAAAAATGACTGAGGCAGACATCTGGCCTCCATACATGTACATACAAACGAATACACACGTGAGTACACGCACACATACCACACACACAGAGGGAAACAGTAGCAGGTACTAATTTTGTACGGTATTTCTGCTGATTACACAAAGGGCCTTGTGGGAGGGAACACCTTGATTTTCTGTGTCAATTTGTATAATTTTCCAATCTACCCAAACTTCAAGACTCTGGAAACTACTTAAATGAGCTGAGCTTGGTGGCACTTGCTTCCTAGATGGAACAAAAATCATCAGGAGTTCTAGGTTATCCTTTTACAGGTTTGGGCTGCATGAGACCCGCTCTCAAACTCTGTGACACTGCTTTTCTCCTTCCACCTTCATGGAAAGTTCACGGCCATAACTTTTTTAAAGATTCTTTCTATGTATTTGTATAAGCCCGTGTGGGTGGGTACCCATACCCAAGGAGGCCCAAGAGGATGTCAGATCTGTTGGAACCAGGAGTTAGAGGGGTCTGGGAACTGAATTCCAGTTCGCTACAAAAGCAACAAGCATTCTTAACCACTGAGTCATCTCTCCAGCTCCCATAATGTTTTGTTTTGTTTTGTTTTGTTTAAGATTGATTTATTCTTTTTAAATAGGAAGATGAAATAAAATTTCCACGGAGTAATTTTTTAAATAAGACTTTTAAAGACAATGGGGCTACTTCTATACAGCCAAAGTTTAATAGATTTGTTTAAATTTATTGAAATGAAAGATTCTTGAAGGAAATGGTGCTAGGTAAATAATTTTAGTTTCCATCTCTTCATTATAAATGTGCAAAAATGATTATTATCTCTAACAGGTTGTATTGTCTTTAGATTATTTGATTCATCTGTTGGGTTTTTTTTTGTTCTCCTTTTATTTTTTATTTTTCTTTTTAGACAGGGTTTCTACATCGCCCTGACTGTCCTGGAACTCCCTAGCCTTTTTTTTTTTTTCCTTTGAGACAGATTCTCACTATGTGCTCCTGGCTAGCCTGGAACTTACTATGTAGAACAGGCTAGTCTCATACAGATCCACTGCCTCTTTGCCGAAGGTTTAATGTGTATGCTGGCTAGTTTTATGTCAGCTTGATACAAGCTATAATCATAGAGAAGAGAGAACCTTAACTGAGATAATACCTCCATTAGGTCAGGCTTCAGGCAAACCTGTAGGGCATGTTCTTAATTAGTGATTGATGGGAGGGCCCAGACCATTGTGTGTGGGGCCACCCCTGGGCTGGTGGCCCTGAGTTTTACAAGAAAGTAGGCTGAGCAAGTCATAGAGAAGCAGGTATTAAGTAGTGCTCCTCCATGGCCTATGCATCAGCGCCTGTCCCCAAGTTCTTGTCCCTGTGTGAGTTCCTGTCCTGACTTTCTTCCGTGATCAACAGTGATGTGGAAATGTAAGCCAAATAAACCTTTTCCTCCCCAAATTGCTTTGGTCATAGTGTTTATCATTGTAATAACCCTAAGACTATGAGTGTTTTGCCTGCATCTGTGTATATCCACCATGTGAATGCCCAGTGGTTGTGGAGGTCAGAGAGGACGTGGGAATTCCCTGGAACTGGAGTTAACAGGTGGTTGTGAGCTGCAATTCGTGTTCTGGATACTAAACTTGGATCCTCTGCAAGAACAACAAATTATCTTAACCGCTGAACTACCTCTATAGACCCCATCCCCCATAGTGTTTTAATGCTTTTGGTTTTGCTTTTTAGTAGTGCTAGGCTTTGAACCTGGGGCCTTCCTGTATTCACAGCAAGTGTGCTGGTTTTTAATCAGCGTGACACAGCCTAGAGTCAGCTGAGAAAATGCCTTAAATGCCTTAATCAGATTCACCTGTAACCAAGTCTGTAGGGACAGTTTCTTAATGACTGATATGGAGGGCCCAGCACTGTGGGTAGCACCTCCCCTAGTGGTGGTGTCCGGGGTTGCATACAAAAGCGAACGGAGGACGCCATTAGGCACAGCCATTAAGCAGTGGTTCCTCCATAGTCTTTACTTCTTCCCTTCAGGACAGACTGCTGTCCAGTGAGAAGAACGTTTTCTCCTCAAGTTACTTCTGTTGCTATTATCACTGCAGTAGAAAGCAAGCTGGGACAGCAAGTATTCTACCAATGAGCTTCACTCTTTGGCCTAGTTATCTGTTTAAGACAAGGTCTCATGTAGCCTAGCATGGCCTTGAATTCACTGTGTAGCTGAGGATAACCTTGATTCCTAATCCTAATTTCACCTCCCAAGTGTTGGGATTATAGGCATATACCAGCATTCCTGTTGTTTGTGTTGTGTTTCTATTTTTTTAATTTTTTGATTTATATATATATATATGTGTGTTTGGATTTCATGAATGTGCGCCAACTTTGTGTGTGCCTAGTGCCCACAGAGGTCGGAAGTGAGCTTTAGATCCCCCTGGAACTGGAGTTCCAGGCAGTTGTGAAGCACTTAGGACCTGGGTTCTTAGAGCCCAGCTGGCCTGAAAGACATTGTGTAGCTGAAATATATGCTGCTATGCCTATTTCCCATATACCCCTTTTGGGGTGATTTTTTTATATATATAATTAGCATTAAGTGTGTATAATAATGTGTTTTGTTATGTTTTCTACATGTACATAATGCATTTTTTGGTCGTAATCACCCCTGTTACTTTCTCTTGTCCTCCTCCTACTGATCCCCTTTCTCTTCCCAGCCAGTTCCCCATCTTCTGTGTTTTTGCTTGTTTGTTGGCCCAGTGAATTTAGGTAGGGTTGCTTACATGAGCTTAGGTGTATGTGGGGGGGGGAGGTATTTACAGCAATAATGGCAGTTACCAGTGGTTATATTGCTGAAGAAAATGCTCCCCGTTTCTCTAGGAACTGGTAACTATGAACAGCTCCAGGGAGTTGGGGGCAGAGGCCGATGAGCTCCTATCTACCATTTTTCCCATCTAAAAATTTTGTTTATTGTTTTGAAGAAATGATTGGAAAACACTGGGTTAAAGTTGTTCAAGGTCCCAAAGGTCATTTCTGAGTCGTAGTACAAAAGGTTAGGATTTACTCATTTTTTAAATTTTATTTATATTTTTCAAGACAGGGTTTCTGTGTGTAATCCTGGCTGTTGTAGAACTCAGTCTGCACACCAGGTTGGCCTTGAACTCAGAGATCTGCCTGCCTCTGTCTCTCTAGAGCTAGGATTAAAGATGTGTGCCACCACTGCCCAGTTGATAATTTGTTATTTAGTAATTTATGTATAATGAATTAATAATTTATGTATATGGGGGTTTTACATATCTAAGTAATTTATAATACTTATAATTAAATTTATAGTTTTTAGTAATTTATGTGTAATGAAACTTTACGGGGTTTTACATATCTAAGTTATCTTCAAATATCGCTGAAGTGTGATATACATGTTAGACAAGAGGCCTAAGTTTATTTGTTGTTTTCTTACAGCAATGTGGCATAAATGCCAATGATGTGAAGAAATTAGAAGAAGCTGGTTACCATACAGTGGAGGCTGTTGCTTATGCACCAAAGAAGGAACTAATAAATATTAAGGGAATTAGTGAAGCCAAAGCTGACAAGATTCTGGTAAGTGAATAATTAGTATAAAATGATATATCCTTAAAGGTTGTTAGCCTCCTTTCATTCTCTTGTCATCTTGTTTTCAGTTTTTATCTTAACTCCCAATTTCCTGTAGAGAACTGCAGTCTTGTGGGGTTTGAAATAAATACTGCCAAAAACACATTCCCACCAGCAGTGGTTGCTGTGCGCCTTATCATTTTGAATGTGATTCCACCTCAGAGATATTTTTAAAATTATTTTGTTTTATGTTTATTAGATGTTTTGTTTGCATGCATACCTGAACACCACATCCCTCTTCAGAGGGTAGAAGAAGGCATTCGGTCCCCTGGAACTGGAGTTACAGGTGTGTGTGAGCCACCATGTGGGTGCTGGGTATTAAACCTTAGTCCTCTGGTAGAGCAAGTACTCTTGAGCCATTTCTCCAGCCCAAAAAATATGTTTACTATATATGCAGGCAATAACACAGTTTTGAAGAATATTGATGTCACACTAAGGTGCAAGCCTGTAGTTCAAGTGACTATGAGGTCGGTGACAGGGAGTTGGAGGCTAGTCCCTGCTTTAGAGTCTGGCCAACTTGAGCTCCATAGGCCAATATGGGTAACTTAATTGAGTGAGACCCTGCCTCAGAAATAAAAAGTCAAGAGAGGCTATATACATGGCTCAGTGGAAAGTACTTGCCTAGCATGTGTTAGGCCCTGATTAATTATCAGTACCACCAGAAAGTGAGAGAATGATATTGGTAAAATGATATTAAAAGGCAGATGAGAATTAGGAATGTAGCTAATAGCCTCTAATAATATGTAATATTTCATCATCACATTTTCATAATGCGTGTATAATATATCTTAATCATACTTCATCACCCTCAGTTTTCTCCTTACTCTGATCTCATTCCTCCCCACTAGACAACCTACTTTTTATGGCCTTTAGGGCTTGGGGTGATGCAGTGAATTTCACAAAGGTTGCTGTCAGGGATGCAGTGCAGGTTTGTTTATAGTAGCTTCACTATAAAGAAAACTTTTCTTTCCCCGTTAACCATTAACTTCATACATCTAGGAGTGGGGCTGGGACCACATTAAAATGTGTGTATTTTGTATGTGTGTATAGAACATGCACTAGGGATAGATGCACTAAAATATTAATGTCGTTATTTCTGGATGGTAGGAATATGAGCTGGATAGTGTTTTATTTTTGTTTTGGGGCTGGGAATTGAACCTAGTTAGGACTTCATATATGCTTCAGTGTGTGCTCTGCTATTGATCTGTGCTTCGGCCTTTATTTTCTTTCATTTTAAAATTTTATTTATTTTATGTTTATGAGTGTTTTCGCCTGCATATGTATATGTGCACCACATGTGTGTTTGCTGTTTATAGCAGCCTGAATAAATTGGTTCCCCAGAACTGGAATTACAGACATTTGTGAGCCACCTTGTAGGTACTGGGAGCCAAACCCAATCCTCTGCAAGAACAGCAAGTACTCTTAACCACTTCACCATCGCTCCAGTTCCTGTCATTTTTCCCCCTTACAGTATTCTAACATCTCTACATTTTGCATAATAAACATCTTTTACTTTCAAAGCACAAAACTATTTTATTTTTTAATTATTAAATTCCAATGTGCATACTCAATCACTTAATTTAATTTATCACTTAATTCCTATCATGTGCTTAGATTTATTTATTTATTTATTTATTTATTTATTTATTTATTACTTTTTTTTTTTTTTTTTTGCTATGGTGAATGACATGATTTTACTGATCTGGGAATAGTGGAACATACCAACACTTAGAAGGCTGAGGCAGGAGGATTGCCTGGTTCAAGTTCATCCTAGGCAAGCCTGGAGTACAGGAGATCTTAACTTTAAAAAACAATAGAAAATTACAACTAGGTGTGGTGATACGCACCTAAAACCTCAGCCCTTAGGACAACAGAGTTTTATACTGAAGGAAGTTTAGGATGTACAAGGTCCTGTTTCAGAAATACATGAAAACAAATTACTGGTATAACCATCTCAGTTGTACATGGGACAGTAATCCAATAGCCCTTTTTAAGGATTTGGTGCTGCTGCTGCTGCTGCTGCAATTGTTTAGACAGGGTTTTATGTACTTAAGGTAGCCTCAAAGAAGCTATAAACAGCTTTAAACTGGTCATCTTCCTGTTTTTACCTCCCTGCTTCTGAGAGGACGGGGTATACCATCAGACCTGTTTTAAGTAATGCTAAAAGTGAGCCCAGGGCCTTAGGAATGCTAGGTGTGAGCCACATCCACATCCCATCTCTCGTATATCTTTATTTTGCCTCTTAAGGCACCACGAAATAATACAGAATCAGTATTTTTTGTCTTACAAATAAGGAAATCAGTCAAATGATAATACAAAAAGTGATTTGAAATATGCAAAATACTATATCCTTAGATGCTATTTTCTGTCACCTTTGCTTTTAGACATACTATGAGTTGAAGTCCCATGATTTCACTTGATAATGGCAATAGAAACCCTTGAGGATGTCTGATTGACAATATTTGAGCCTGAGAGAAGTAATTAGAGAAGCATAGCATTTAGTTTTACAGTAACTTATGTTTATAAAATAGAATGTACACAGTGTAGGAAATTTTTAACTGAAGTATTAATCATATCTATATGTTTAGAAAATAATATAAATTAAGTGGGAGTGCGTGAGAAAAGTTTTAAATTTACAAGTTCAGTTTTAGGGAGATACCTTTATTTTTAAAATGCTGTCACGCAAGCATGAGAGCCTGAGTGCAATCTCTAATACATAAAAAGCTATGAAGGGTGGTATGAATTTATAATCCCAGCCTCACTGGAGAAGAGTCAAGAAACCCCAAAGCTCACTGGTCAGCCAGCATATCCTGCTTGGTAAATTCCAGGCCCCAGTCAGAGACCCTCTCTTAAAAAAACAATGTAGATAGCTGGGTGTTGGGGGAGCGCGCCTTTAATCCCAGTACTCAGGAGGCAGAGGCAAGTGGAACTCTGTGTTCCAGGACAGCCAGAGCTACAGAGTGAGACCCTGTCCCAAAAATTAAAAAAAAAAAAAAAAAAAAAAGGAATTGAAGGCAAGCCTGGTGATACATAGGTGAAATTTCAGTGGTCTAGCTTTCTAGTGTGGATTATGGTATTAGTAGGGGCCTTTTCCAGCAGGTGTCTTAGCCAAGTAATTGACACAAGTTTAAAGCTCTATGCCTGGGCAGATATTCATGCATTCTAACCCAATTATGCTAGTCTGGTTACCTCTCAGCCACATGCCCTTTTACTTGCCATCTGAGTCTTACCTTAGCCTTCTGCTGTCACTCTCTCCTCATGGAGTTCTTTTCTCCTCCCCTCTCTGGTCTCTACCTGAGACCTCCTGACTGGCCACAGTCCAGTCTTCTGATTCCTCAGTCCAGTCTTCCAGTTATTGGCTAGTCCACTTCTTTATTAACCCATCAGAGATAATTAGGGAGCAATTTTTTACATAACATTGAGGCAGGAGGTTCTTCATAAAAATGACAATGCCCACATCCAGACTGCAGTCAGGGCACAGGAATCAGCATCTGAATACACAGTACACAAGACCATCCCTCAACAGGGTTTCTATAAGTTAATGTGTTTGATTGTTTTGTTTTTAAGTTTTTAAAGATTTTTTTTTTAATATTATGTGTGCTTTGCTTGCCTGTATGTATGTGCACCATATCCATGCCTGGTGGCTGCAGAGGTCAGAAGGCAGCTGTGGGTGCCCTGGCCCTGGAGTTTTTGGGTGATTGTGAGTTACATGTGGGTGCTGGGGACTGAATCTGGGTCCTCTGCAAGAACAAGCGCTCTTAACCGCTGAGCCAGCTCTCTAGCCTCTGGATGTATGGTTAGTTGTAAAGATTTATTAATGTTTATATGTTTGAGTGTTTTGCCTGCGTGTATTTAAGTGCACTTTGTGCATGCCTGGTGCCCATGGAAGCCAGAAAATGGTGCTGGGTCTTCTAAAACTGAAGTTACGGACAGTTACAAGCCGTCATGTGGGTCCTCTGCAAGAACAGCAAGTACCACTTGCTGTTTTTACCACTGAGTCATCTAGGTTCCTCGAAGTTTAGTTTTATTGTCCTATTATATTAATGATTTTTTTTCAACCTAAGGTGTAGATTTTGTTGCCTAGGTGAGGTATAATGTTATTTGGATGTACTTGGAAAATAAGTAATAAAGAAAAAGATCTGGACTTTTTACTGTTTTACAAGGCTGATGTCAAGGAATGACAGAACAGGAAATAAAGTATGTTACACTGTCCTTTTTAGGCTCCTGTGGTGTTGAAACCCTGTCATCCCAGCACAAAAAATTTTTTCTGTTGTGTTCCTGGGCCTGTCTTACAATACATGTAGGTTGAGCATCTCCAATGCAAGAATAAGAGATGAAATGTGCAGAAATCTGAAATTTTTTAACAGAAATCTGATACTCAAGGTTCATATTTTGGTATATTTAATGAAGGATGTTCAGTTGGTAGTCTAACCAAGTACTTCAAAATCTACAAAAATCACAGTCTGAAGCATTTTGGGTCCAAAATTTTCCAGATTCTTTACCTGTGTTACCTTACTACTTTAACTTTTTTTATTTTTCCTAGACTGAGGCAGCTAAATTAGTTCCAATGGGTTTCACCACTGCAACTGAATTTCACCAACGGCGGTCAGAAATCATACAGATTACTACTGGCTCCAAAGAGCTTGACAAACTGCTTCAAGGTATAGTAATCCCTTATGCGCCTATTTAAATTCTAATTAACACATCTTGTAGGTCAGAAAAGAATCAGAATATTAGTGTAAAATTCATGTTAGGTGTGAATGTGGCATAAAAAAGTGAACAGTAGGTTTCTTCAGAGCTTGACTGGCTGATTCTGTGGGTTTGCTTTTATGAAGTTTTTTTCGGTATTTTGGTTTGGTTTGGTTTTGATTTTGATTTTTTTTCTTGTATTGGCAGATCTCACATTCAGGCTCATTTGCATGTATTTGGATTATAGGAATGCCAGCTTTCTCGTTCTCATAGATACTGTATTACAGTTGGGAAAGGTGATAACATTGGAGAAGGTTAGGTAAAGAGTTCCTAGAACTTTCCTGTGTATTTCTTTGTAACATTCTACAAATCTAACATTTTAAAAAATAAATAATTTTTATTTTTTAATAATTTTTTGGTGGTTTTAGGAAATGAACCAGGAGCTGAAGGTATCATTAAATTCCTGATCTTCCTGCTCCTATCCCCCAAGTGCTAGTAGCATTTTTAGATTATAGGCATTAGTTAGTCATGCTGGCTCTGTTGTTTTGGTTTTGTTTGTTTGTTTTCAAGACAGGATTTCTCTGTGTAATAACCCTAGCTGTCCTGAACTCGATTAGTAGACCTTCCATGCCTCCAACACACAGAGATTTGCCTGCCTCTGCCTTCCCAAGTGCTGGAATTACAGGCATGCACCACCGCACCAGGCTTCTGATTTAAAAAAATACTAAAATTACCTATAAATTAGATCAATTTTGGTTTGGTTTAGTTTGGTTGAAACAGTGTCTTGCTTTGTAGCTCTGACTATAAATTATATAGTTTAATCTTTATTGTATTTAAAGAATAAGTTTCCTCTGCTTAATGAATAAGTATGATTATATATAATATAAATATGTATGCAAGTACAAAATATATATTTGTTTTAGTCTAACACAAGATTGAAAATTTGATGACCGGTTGGATACAATGGAGGAAGGCACAGAGATAGCTCATCAAGTGGTTGCCTTACAACCCTGATGACCTGAGTTCGATCCCTGGAACCCACAGTACATGGAGATTACCCATTCATTTTTCAGAGTTATCCTCTGGCCTCCATATGTGAACTGTGCCACATGCCTGCCTGCACTCAGACATCATACATACAGTTCTAATAGTAACAAATTTAAAAACAAAAGACATATGGGAAAGGATTGTGCTGAGAGACTTATGTTTTTTACCACCAAGCTATACTCCCTGCTACAAAACACTCTTTGAATACTACTCAGTATAGCATATACTAGCTTTCATTCATTCATTCATTAGCTGTATGACATCTACTAGCCTGGAACTGACTATAGACTAGGTGGCTTGGAACTCATAGAGGTACTCCTGCCTCTCTGTTTCTTGAGTGCTGAGATTAAAGGCATGTACCACCTTCTCTGAGTGGTTTTGAACTTTTGAAAACCTAGTTGTCCTCATTGTTGAAAAGTGAAGTTTGAACTGGATGGTGGTGTCACACACTTTTAATCCTAGAACTCAGGAGGCAGAGACAGGTGGATCTCTGAGTTCTACATGGCAAGCTCCTGGTTGGCCAAGGCTAAATAGAGAAACCCTGTCTCAGAAAAAAACAAAAAGGAAGGAAGGGAGGAAAAGAGAGGCTTAAAAGCACTGGTTACTCTTTGAGAAGACTGGGGTTTGATTCCCAGCATCCACATGGTTGCCTGCAATCACCTATAACTCCAGTTCCAGGGGATCTGACAGACACATAGTAGACCAAATGCCCAAACACTCAAAGACATAAAACAAACAAAGTGAGGCTGTGGTGGCGCACACCTTTGATCCCAGCACTCTGGAGGCAGACGCAGGTGGATCTCCTCAGTTCAAGGACAGCCTGCTCTACAAAGTCCAGGACAGCCAAGCCTACACAGAGAAACCCTGCCTAAGGGGGGGAGGGGAGGCTGTAGAAGCTGCTTGTCAGCTTTTCATGGTTGAGTTATATAACTTGATTATGATAGCAATTACATGAAGCTATACATGGAGTAAAATTGCCTACAAATTACAGCAAGACAAATGAGCACATATAAAACTGGAGAGATGTGAACATACTGAGGATTGAATGTTAGATTTTATTATAAAATTAACACTGGGGAGACCAGAAGATGAGTTCCCAGAACCTCTTATGTACAAAACAAATTTATTGTTCTTATTTTTGGTGATATTGGGAATTGAATCTAGGGCTTTTTTCTTTTAAGCAAGCATTCTACCATTGAGCTACATGTCCAGACCCAGGGTCTTAATATATTGTGAGGGCTGGTCTTGATCTTTCTATGTTGTCCAGACAGGCCTTGAACTTTTTATCCTCCTGCGTCATCTTCCCATAAAGCTGGCTTAGAGCTGTATACTAGTGAGGCTAGCCAAAAAAGAGAGAAAGAAGGAATAGAAATTAACAAATTGCTGATTACTGAAAATGATAGTTTTAAATTATGGAAACATTTATGTGCTCCAAGAACATTTCTGTGATTATAGTTTTTAAACAGTTATTTTATGTGAGATATTGTTTGCTTTCATAGGTGGAATTGAGACTGGATCTATCACAGAGATGTTTGGAGAATTCCGAACTGGGAAGACACAGATCTGTCATACATTGGCTGTAACATGCCAGGTGAGATCAGAAAGTGTTGTTTGACTCATGATATCTTCAAAGATCTGTTAGGATGGGCATAAAAGGTACTTTCTCTAGAATTCCAGAGCTATTTAGAAGATAATTCCTACTGAAAATCATTTCATAAAAACTTTCAAATGACTGATTAAAAATATTTCTTACCATTTCTTCTTTCTAGATCTGCCTGCTCTTTTTCATTGCTCTAATTTAAATTTATTTATATATGCATGAGTATTCTGCTTGCATGCATTTGTGTGCACCATGTTCATTCCTGCTGTCCCACCACTATTACCCTGAGCAGTAGTTGCGAGCTGACATGTGGGTGCTGGGAATCAAACCCCAGGCCTCTAGAAGAGCAGCCTGTGGTCCTTAACTGATAAGCCATTTCTCCAGGCCTGCAGTCTACACTTTATGTCTCAAAAGTTTATATAACAATAATAACCTGACATGATTCATTAAACCCTGTATCTGGTCTTTTTAAATAGAAATGTTTTTTGTTTTTTCTAAATTGTTTGTTTGTTTCTGAGACAGGGTTTCTCTGTGTAGCATTGGCCATTCAGATCTTCCTGCCTCTGAGTCCTGGACTTACAGGCATGTGCCACCTCTCCCTGCTTTCTCTATAATTTTTTACTTTGTGTGTGTGGTACACATGTGTATGTCTGAAGGGGCATATGCAAATGCACTCCCAGATACCAGAAAGTACCAGATGTCTTCCTCTGTTACTCTGCACCTCATTCCTTTAAGGCAGGGTCTCTCCCTGGACTTAAAGCTTTTGGTTTTTGGCTAGACTGGCAGTCAGCAAGCCTGGATTATAATTCATCTTTGTTCTTTATAGCACTGGGATTACAGGTTCCTTTGAGACCACACCTCACTTGTAAAATTGGTCCTGAGATCCAAGTTCAATCCAAGATTGTAAATAAGCACTCTTAACCATTTCTCTAGTCCCCTCCCTCTTGTTTTGATACGACATTCATGTAGAACATCTATTGTTGCTATGGAAACCCTGTATGCCATACTAATTCTTTAAAATACAAACAGGCTGGGCAGTGGTGGTACACACTTTAATCCCAGTAGTGGGAAGGGAAAGGCAGTCCGGATCTCTGAGTTCCAGGACAGCCTGGTCTACAGAGCAAGTTCTAGAACATCCCTGGCTACACAGAAAAACCATGTCTCAAAAAAAAAAAAAAACTAATTAGATTGATAGACAGACAGATAGATAGATTACAAATAGAATCCTAGCCTGGGAATGTTTATTAAATACTAATATTAACACTGAAAAGTCTTAAATAACATTCTGAGGTGCTCAACAGCTATAGATCTTTGTTATTTTTTTCCCAGAGAATGCTGATTCATTAATAGAACAATTTTCATGTTAGTCTGTTGTAGTAAATAAAAAGAGTGTTGGGCTATATATTGTTTATTATTATCCTAAGATTATTACAGTGGTATTATCTAACCCGCTATCACAAATGATAAGACACAGACATTTGTTAGATTTTATAATTGCCTTATGTATCTTGGCCCAGACATATTTCTACCTACTGTGCCTCAGTAACCTCACCTCCCAGCTCCTATCCAATACCATCTGCCTTAAACATCTTCATCTGGTCTACCTTCCACCCATAATTCCAAGATATTTGCTTATATTTTTCATCTTGGTGTTTTCTCCATCCATGCCATCCTTGGAGTCCTTCCTCCTAGCCCACATGGTTCCTTCTCCATGCTAACTAATCATGGCATTGCTCCTGCCTCCTCTCTTCCTGTCTCTTCCTGAGATTCTTCTGTCCTCCAAAGCCCAGTAACCTTAGCCACGCCTACTCCATTCTGACCTGCCCAGGTATAGGCCATTTAATCAACCAATCAGATATGTCTTAGGCAGGTTTACACAACAAGGATAAGTATTTCCCAGGGAGTAACCACATCTTGAGGGTCAGCATCAAAATAATTCCTAACATTAATCTAAGAGCTGGGACCAGAAATATGAGAGAACATTAAGAGTATTACTTAAATTCCAACATTATCTGTTATCATTGTTCAGACTTTCTCAACCTAATGAAATGAAACTTCACTGTATTAGATATCTATAACTTAAGTTCTAGAACATTTCACATCTGTCCAAGAATAAATAAATGTGTGAAGAATTTATATCACAGCATTATAAAAATAGCAAAAGTGATAACCAACATGCATCTCTATAAAATAGAGAGGAATTACAGTACTAAATATTCATGGAAAACTTCTAACTTAGCCAAGCATGAGGATGCTAATCCTAGCGCTCAGGAGATCATTTGAGGCCAGCATAGGCTACTCGGGGGAACTCTGAGCATCAACCACTAAAACAACAACCGCCTACTAACTTAATGTCTGCGTCTCCACCTTCTTCCTTTGAGACAGAGTCTCTCCTTAAACCTGGAACTCACTAGATTTGTTGTTGTTGCTAAACTGGTAGTCAGCAAGCTCAAATGATAGCTTCTCTCTCTGCTTCTCACCACACTGCATTACAAGTGCCTTAGCCACCATACTCAGGATGGATGGGTTTATTTTGAGGCAGGGTCTCATGCTGCCAGAGCTGGCCTCAAAGTTACTAGGTAGCTGACCTTGAACTCCTGCTACTCTTCATGTGTGACATTAGAGATAGGGGCCATCATAGCTGACCTTTGATCAGTCTTAACACTCAGTTTTATCTCGTACTTTGGACTGTTTCAAAGCAGTCCAACGCAGACAAAACACTGACTATATGTACTTTATGTCTATTTTAACTGCTTTTTCTATCAAAAGAGTACACCCTGTTACCTCTGGTTGTCATCTTTGTTTTGTTTTAATGTGCATGTATGTTTGCCTGTACATGAAAGCCAGAATATCATACAGGGTTTTGAGTCACCAGATAGGTTCTGGGAATGAAACACGTGTTCTCTGGAAGTACAGGCAGTGCTCTTAACCACTGAGCCATCATTACAGGCCCTGCTGTTTTCTCTTCTCTTTTTTAAATTGCTTGTTTGTTTGTTGTTGTTTTATGTGTTTTGCCTGCACATGTATCTGTATGAAGATCTCAGATCCCCTGGAATTTTATAATACAGCATCTGTGTATGTTTTAACCCTTATTTGGTGTGGTGGAAATTAGATTTATCATGGGGAGCTTAGCAACTGTATCAGAAGAGTAGTTGTTTCCACTGTTCCTTTTTTTTTTTTTTTCCCCTCTAGCTTCCCATTGATCGTGGTGGAGGTGAAGGAAAGGCCATGTACATTGACACTGAGGGTACCTTTCGTCCAGAAAGGCTGCTAGCAGTGGCTGAGAGGTAGGTCACTAAATTAAAATATGTTTAACCTTTTAGCAGATCATTTAGCAAGGTTAATTTTCCTGGAAAGTGTCTCATTACTCTACACCCCAACTGTGTGATTTGAAAGAAAACCTCAATAACGGAAAATATTCTTTCCTCAGCGGTCTGAAGTTCTTAGGCTTACTTAATAAAAAGCAAGATCCAGCTGTGTCGCAGGATATGTGAAAGCAGAGATTGTGTTGTTTTTGGAAAAACCTGTCTTTAGTTGTGTTGTGGGTCAGCCCTAGCACACACCTTTAATCCAAAAACAGGATTAAATGAAGTCAACCATAGGCCGAGGGCAGCCCAAGCAAACAGTTGACAGGGAGTGAACATGGAGGGGGGGGGACAGTAACAGGAAGTCAGGAGGATAGACGCATAGGAAGTGGGAGGGAGGGACATTTAGTTTGAGGGTTTTTGAGGTGTGGGGAAGGAGTATACTTTCTTTTGGGACCTTGGTTGAGGAGGAATGTCAGCTGGGTGCTTTCTCTGCTTCTCTGAGCTAGCAGGCTTTCACCCCAGCATCTGGTTCCTGAGATGCTTTATTGGTAACATTGAATATTTGAGATTTTGTTAGAAACAACACAACTATATATTGTCTTCCAGAGAAACACTTTAAAGACAGGTTGAAAACAAAAGGCTTGAAAAGATAACATGATAAGGAACCTTAAGAGAAATTAAAAGACTATAGCAGCTCCCCCCCCCCCCAAAAAAAAATACTACTAAAAATGAGAAAACACTTGTTCTATAGACCAGGCTGTTGTCAGATTCACAGAGATCTGCCTACCAAATGCTGGGATTAAAGGCTGTGCTACTGCCATCTGGCTACCAATATCTTTTAATATCCCAAGAGTACATCACTAAATTGATATTATTTGGACTCTATAAATCATGTCAAAATTCTAGCAAGCTTTTTTACAAATTGACAAATTTATGTGTAAAAAACTAGAGATTTATTTATTTATTTATTTAGCTTATTTTATTGTTGGTGTGTATGTTGTGGGGTGTTGCCTGCATGTGTCTGTGTACCTTCAGGGGCCAGAAGAGAGCACTGGATATCTGAAACTGGAATTTTGGTGAATATTAATAGTTGTGAGTTGCCATATGAGTGCTGGGAATTGAGCATAGGAGCTCTGGAAGAGTAGCCACTCTTCTTAAACCCGAGCCATCTCTTTAGCACAAGTCCTCAACTTAAAATTCATAAAACTACAGTAGTCATTCAGATGATTATGACTCAAAAATAGTTGTGCAGTTAAGGATATAGCTCAGTGGTAAAGTATTTTATCTATCATGCATGAGACCCTAAGGTCGATTTTTCTGTACTGAATAAAAAAGGTATGTGTGGGGAGATTCACTCAGTAGGCATACTAACAACAGACAGGCAGAAATATCTCTGTGAGCTGAAGGCTAACTTGGTGTGAAGGCTACAAAATGAGACCCTGTCTCAAAAAAACAACAAATAAGTCAATAACTAAGAGCGTTTATATTTATGGTTTAGGTAGTGGTAACAAAGTTGAGAAATACAGATCATTCTATAAAAATGGAAGATAATATGATTTGCTCTTTTTAAGTACAAAAGAAAATAATCATTGAGGCATAAGAAGTATTAGGTGTCATTCTTTTAACATAATGAATCTTTAAATGGTTTGTTATCTTTGTTTATCCTAATTCTGACTGTAATTCTTGGCTTTTCAGGGTGAATGTTGTTACCTCAGACTTGGAAATTTCTTGTAGTTAGGAGGCCTCAGAGAGTAAATTTGATTTATCCTTAGGTTTCACTTCTAGCTTAAAATAATTGGTGCTATCATCTCTGTATATGGCTTGCCTTATTATACTGTAATAGAAAGGGAATTATATTTATGGGTCTTGAAGCCACTAGGGATGCTACTTATCTATTTGGGTCATAGAAATATTAGGTATTAATTTTTCTCCTGCCTGAGTTCTGTCTGCAACCTAAAAATCTCTTTTCTAGATATGGTCTCTCTGGCAGTGATGTCCTAGATAATGTAGCATATGCTCGAGGGTTCAACACAGACCACCAGACCCAGCTCCTTTATCAAGCGTCAGCCATGATGGTAGAATCCAGGTATGTGTTCATGAAGACATTAACTTTGTCCCCACAGCCCTTTCCCTGAACCTAGGTAGTCATTTGAATAGAAATAGAGAGATTTAAATTTTAAGGTTTGTTTTTTGTTTGTTTTTTACATAGGCTCTCTCTGTGTAGTCTTGGCTGTCTTGGAACTCATATAGACAAAGCTGGCCTCGAACACACAGAGATCCTCCTGCCTGTCTCCCCAAGTGCTGGGGTTAAAGGCATGCACTACCATGGAAGTGGGAGGGGGGTTGTTGTTGTTTTGTTGGGGTTTTTTGTTTGTTTTTGGTTGTTGTTTTTTTTTTTTTAACAAATAGTAATAATTTGTTTTTGTCTTTGTTTTAATTAAAAATTTGTTTTTACTTATGAGTGTGTTTCTGTGAATGTATGTTGGGATAACTATATAGGTCAGACGAGGCTATCAGATCTCCTGGAGCTGTGGTTACAGCTACCCAATAAGGATGCTGGGAAACAAACTTGGATCTTCTGAAAGAGCAGAGTACTCTTAGCAGCTGAGCCATCTCTCCGGCCCCAAGCTCTTTTTGTTAAAAGATACTTTTTAACATACAAAATACACATTAAAAAAAATGTGTCTGCATACAGACACATTTATATGTGAGTGCACATGTATATGGAGTGACTCACATGTGCAGGTAGGAGACCACTTTGGTCATCAGTTATCACTTTCCACTTTGGTTGGGACAGCATCTCTTCATTGTTCACTGCTGTGAATGCCAGGCTAGCTGGTCCGCAGGCTTCTAGACACCCTTCCCATCTCACTGTAGAAGCACTGAGGTTACAACCACTTACTACCTCGGCTGGTTTTACATGGCTCTAGGATTCACACTCAGATCCTCCCACTTACATAAGTACTTTACCCACTGTATCATCTCTGCCTTTAGTTCTCATTTTGACACTTATGCTTTATGATTTCAGTCACATCACTAATAAAAATAAATGAAGCTATGGCTGGAGACCCTCAATATTGTAAAAAATAAACAACAAAAAAACCCCAGAGCTGCTTTTGGTCAAATCTACCAAAACCAAAACAGACGATACCCACCGAAAGGGTAGCTTGGATTATACATTTTATAAACATTTAGTGTGTGTGTGTGTGTGTGTGTGTGTGTGTGTGTGTGTGTGTGTGTG